TAAGCAGTTATGAGATGCGGCGGAAAAACATTAAACTGTTGCTGCGCCAGTTACTCAACAGGTCGTTGCTAGGTAACCAGAGTTGGGGGAGGGGACTTGGAACTGCTGGTTACCCAGCAGGTTGTTGCCAGGCAACCAAAGACTGAGTGATCCCACTGACCCAGCTTAGCTCAGCTTAGCTAAAGTCTTTTGTCTGCCTACTTCTCCCAGAATGCTGTGCAGTTCTATGGATATTTTATATACTGAATATGTAATGATATTGATGACATGTCTATTGTGATCTATATTGTTATTGATTTATTGTCTTGCCCTAATTTCTTAGCAACATGACAAATAGGGCATTTTTAATATGCAAGCTTTTCATATGTACTAAATCTCTTATTTTAAACAATATTCCAGTCATTTTTGCAGTTTTATTTCTAATATATTTAATCTGAGGCTTCCAACTATGTTTCAAGTCTCTTGTCAAGATGCACATTTCTCAAGGCCTGTCCAGTTAAAGCCAGCCAATGGAGAGAAAATAAACGATATATAAACAAATGTAATCTTAAATTACTCTTCCTGAGTCTGGTTTTAATTCTGCAGATGTTTGAATGTGGAAAACAAATCTCTAAATGGGTTTCAGATGTTCAGAAACACTTTAATGAACTCTGTCCTTCCATCCAGGCGTAAACTAGAACTCCACCTTAATGTCACGTTGCACAGATGTCCTGATACCTGCAGGGACAGCAGCAGGAAGAGCGGCCCGTCCATCGGGCTGCGACTCTCCAGGATCTTCCTGGCTCTCTGGGTGAACAGCATCGTAGAGTATTTTCCCTCCTGGCCCCATGCGACGCTCTCATTGTCATGCAGGTCATAGCCACACAAACCAGGGCCGTCACAGGACCGATAGCTGGGCAACAGACATAGAAGTTTAAAAACTAACCTGGAGTCAGACTGAGTTAATGTGTAAAGTTATACTAACTTGTAATAATCCACACTTCCTGTTAATGAACCAAAGAAAGAGTCGAAACCTTTTCTGGTGGGCAGGCAGGCCTTCCTGAACAACAAGCAACAAGGAATTTACTGTTATTAATTGTATTAGAGGCAATCAATAGATTAAATTTGTTTCTGCCTTGTTCAGAAGAAACAAATGAAGCTGAGTATTCCTGCTAGAGGAGAGAGATGCTGCATAATGTGGCATCGATCCGATACCAGATATCAGAGCCAGATTTACTGATACTTTTTATTTTAGTTTGATAAATCATCAGACTTCTGACCTTTAGGCACTTTTGTAGTTTCTCCTTTTAATTATTTTGTTAAAACCTAAACAGGTCTCAACAACAATTTTTGTGGATTGTTTTCTAAATAAAGTGCAAAAATATTATAATTTGACAGAATATCTAAGCAAATTTTTTATCGTAGAGTTGAGAAACTGCAATACTGATTTGGACTGATTGATCCGCCACTACTTCCTGCAGATATTGGGACATGGCAGGAAGCTGGACCCCAGTTTTCGGTGCAGCTGCTTGGTCAGCTGCATCGCTATGCTAGCCAGCATACCGTCTCCATGGTAACCAGCTGCTGTACTGGCCAATCAGAGCTAGCCAAGTATTACCACTCTTACTAATTTGTTGTACTTTTACTTGGTTACACTTAAATATTTCCAAATATTGATTTTCTGTATTTTGAGAAAAGAAGGAATCCTAACCGACTCTTATGTAGGAAACATTTTTTTAGACTTTATGACCAGTAACTGACATCAAAGTCGAATGCTAGCTAAAAAGGCAGGATTCGACTTTGCTACCTAATCATTAAAGTTTTATGGTTAGTGCTTTAATCATAAAACTAATGTTTATGATTAAAGCACTAATCATAAACATTAGTTCTGCTAACACTAAAGCCCTACACCAGCACAGTGTTCAGCAGAAACTAATACTAAAGCCCTACAGTAGCATGGTGTTTAGCGAATGCTAATGCTAAAGCCCTACAGTAGCATGGTGTTTAGCGAATGCTAATGCTAAAGCCCTACAGTAGCATGGTGTTTAGCGGATGCTAATGCTAAAGGCCTACAGTAGCATGGTGTTTAGCTAATGCTAAAGCCCTACAGTAGCATGGTGTTTAGCGGATGCTAATGCTAAAGGCCTACAGTAGCATGATGTTTAGTGGATACTAATGCTAAAGCCCTACAGTAGCATGGTGTTTAGAGGATGCTAATGCTAAAGCCATACAGTAGCATGGCTTTAGCATGCAACTGTATGCTAAATACAGGATGCTAATGCTAAAGCCCTACACCAGCACAGTGTCCAGCAGAAATTAATGCTGAAGCCCTTCACTATTATGGTGTTACGTGGAAGCTAACGCTAAAGCTCCACACCAGCACTGTGTTTAGCAGAACCTAATGCTAAAGCGCTGACTTGAATCCAAATATCTGCCCTTGAAAAACCGCAGCCTTTGAGCACCAATTCAATTTCGACATTACAGCTTAAACGCCCTCAGATGTAATTTCTTGTTCTGTATAGAAATGTAGATGCGTCGTTAGACTCACCTGTAGAAGCCCAGGTGCCACTTGCCCACCATGTGTGTGGCGTAGCCGGCCTGGCGGAGCCTCTCGGGCAGCGTGTCCATGTGTGAGGGCAAACAACTGGGCTGCCTGGGTCTGATGATGGAGTGCTGTAATCCTGTGTGGATCTGATATCTCAAAGAAAACAAGATCTGTCGTCATCCCTCACAGTAAGACGACATTAATCATGTTTGAGTCAGAGCCTCGGACTCAGCAGCTATCCGTTGTTTTCTCTGAAGCAGCTGTTAGACATTAGAGCGACTCGTATCTGAGTACAGCTGTAACTGATCTGCAGAATGAACAACAGCTGCATGAAAGAAATAAACATAAAATGTGAATAACGTCAGAATTACAGCGATGACTGACAGTAAAGTTGGCTTTACACGTGTTTTATACATAGAAAAGCATGTTTTGAGTTCAGATGGCTGCAGTTTGACATTTGAGCCACTAGATGTCACTAAATCTTCCACTTCCAGTTTTATGTTAAACTCCTTCCAGAAAGTTTCAAAGCTAACAAATTAACCATAAAATGCTTTAATCTTCATGGTTTTATTTTATCTTTTATTCCTGGATGAAATATTAATATTCTTTTAGCTGGCTTGTCTCCCCCTGCTGGCCATTGGAGAGAATACAAGTTTAATTTGAGTTGATAGTTTGTTGTTTTTACTCCATTATATTCATAATATAATATGAATATGTTATCAGATTTAGAAAACAATAACAAGAATGACAAAGTTTAAACCTAAGTTTTCTCTGGACTCAGTTACAGATTAAATTATAGATTAACATATTTCCACGTATATGTTTATTATTATTTTATTTACTGATTTAATTTTTTGGTTGTATTTAAATACGATGCTTATATACATATTTTTATATAAAAATTTCATTTATGATTATATAGTAATCATGCCATTTATTGAACACTTGATCGTTGGCAGATTAATTGAATATTTATTGGATTAACTGATTAATAACTGGATAGCAAAATGTGCTCAATAGGAGATTTTGGTTGTTTTTATTGTTAAGTGGGAAATTTTTATACTTCTGTACAGTTTTGGCTTAATTACAGCTCCGAGTGTGTTGTTATTTCAGCATATGTCGTTTTTTAGTCTGTATACTTCAGTTAAGGATTAATTAATTACTAAACGAGTCAGCTAATCACAATAAGTGACGATAAATCATTTCAGCCCTAATCAAACTGACGGTCTGTTGGACGGTGGGAATGAATTCAGTGGCTCCAGATTGAGGGTTTTTTAAAAGGTTTAGCCGTCATCGGCTGCTGAAGCGGTGCGTATACCTGCCGGTCATCAGCTGGCTGCGTGACGGCGTGCAGATCGGTTGAACGTAGTAGTTCTCCAGTATCACGCCCTCTGCTGCCAGTTTGTCCAGAGTTGGGGTTATGATGGTGGGGTTGTGGTAGCCGATGTCGTTGTAGCCCTGTCACAGATTGAGTTCTGCTTTACTCCTATGCAGTCGCTGTGGTTACTATGAGTTTTATCCAAACTGTATTTTATTTAAATGCCCTTTAATGTGACCACATCAACATTTCATTGACCTCTGCAGTCAGGAAACATTTTTTATTTTTTACATAAATTCTGTGCAAACATTTAAAACCAGCTCATTTCTTTATATTTGCTTTGCATTTTAATGCTAACTAAACTTTACTGCTGGAACCAACAGGAAAATTCAACTGCAATAGCTTCAATTTAACCCAAAGGGGGCAGCACTGAGACGGTTTTAGGCCAAATATCACAGAGTTAAATTTATATTCACAAAAAACTGTCATAGTAAAGTTAGCAACCTTAAGAACCGATTTAAACAGTTTATCTGCAAAAAAATAAAAAATAAAAAAAATAGATTTGGGGATAGTTGCATTTACACTGCAAAAACTCAAAATCCTAGCAAGTATTTTTAGTCTCTAGTGTAAATGTCTTAGTAGTCTTCAAATAAGACAAAACTAACTTAAAAGTAACTTTTCTACAAGGTGTAGGAGCTTGTTTTAAGTAAAAAATATTTCTTAATGTTAAATTTAAAAAGTACTAGTTAATGTGGCAGATTATTTCACTTACAAGACATTTTTCCCATGTTAACAGTCAAATAATCTGCCAGATTAACTAGTACTTTTTGTATCAATACTGAGGGATTGTTGACCTAAAACAAACTACTATATCTTGTTGAAAAATTATTCGCAAGTTAGTTTTGTCTTATTTCAAGTGTACCAAGATATTTGCATTATAAACCAGACAAAATACTTAGAGTTGAGTTTAGCATTGAACCTAGTGTCAACTCTGCAAAAACAGTGCAACTAGCATTTTATTCATCAGTATTAAATAATTATTGAATAAGAAAAAAATTCCCATATCTTGCAGGAAAGTTACTTGGAAATTAGTTTTGTCTTATTTCAGGAATTAAGACATTTGCACTAGAAAGTAAACCAAAAATACTTGTATTTTAAACCACCAAAACAATATTTTTCTTACAGATAAACAGCCTAACTTGGTTTTCCCAAGGTGCTAACGTTATATCTGCAAATTGTGACATTTTTGCATAAATTAGTTTAAGATAGTTGTACTAGAAACCAAACCAAAAATACGTGGTAAGATTTTGGATTTTGCAGTAGAAAAATTGACTTGCTGAACACTAATAGACTTGTTACAATATGCAGGCTATTAAACTGTAGCAAAAATTAATGTTTCCTTCAAGTCTGAGTACTTGTAAGGTGAATAAATCAAACTTTCTTCCAGAAACTCACTTGGTCGTCGATCAGAATGAAGATGATGTGCGGCTGATTCTTCCTCCCAGTCTCACCAGTCTGAACGTTGCTGCTGTTCATGCGGTCTGACTGGGACTGAGCTGACAGGAAGTCCAAGCTGAGGAAAACGCTCAGCACAGTTGCAGCTGCCTGCATCGTTACGGCTCCTACAGGAAACGCAAAACAGGGCAAAACAGACTCAAACAACACCAGAAAGACGGACAGGGCTGAAAAATGTCTGAGTGGGCACAGTTTCACACGAGCATGCCATCGCTGCAGGATGGAGCGTAGATCATAAAACCACATTTGGGATTGACTCGCCAACTTGGCTGAAGCTGTGACCTGAAACGCATCCATCTGCTGGAGGAGGGCTTTAAAAGCCTTTATGAAGCTGGAGCCGAGGAACAGCTCCAATAAAGAGCCATGAAAATATTAACTGTGGCAGAGAGAGCAGAAAAAGGTCAGTTTGAAGAATTTCAGCACAACTCTTTTACCAGCCGCTGGGATTATGCAACTTGTTTGAATTTAAAACATTAAAGAAGTAAAACTGTGATTTGTTGAGTTGCAATGTAAACATACCTATAAAATATCTGAGATAAAACAGTAAAATGCCTGCAGTTATAAACACTCCAAGTTATAAACACTCATTTTTTGTAAGAAAAAAGTCAAAAATTCACCATAATCGTATTTTGCAAGGTTTACAGGTAAACCTAGGGCTGGACGACATGTCATAATATAAGCGTTTCATGTCAGCCAATATCGATAATTGATTGATGAGTCTGTTTATATATATATATGCAGTACTGCCAAAGTGGTGGGATAACATTTCCTGTTTTTGTCCAGACTTCACTCCGTGCCGTCGTTTATTATTTTTAGCAGTTATGAGGCAAAGGGGAAAAACCTTAAACTGCTGCTGCGCATGTTACTCATCAGACCGTTGCTAGGTAACCGATGTCAGGGCGGAACTTGAAGCTGCTTGTTTCTCATCAGGTCGTTGCTAGGTAACCGATGTCAAGGCGGAACTTGAAGCTGCTTGTTACTCATCAGGTCGTTGCTAGGTAACCGATGTCAGGGCGGAACTTGAAGCTGCTTGTTTCTCATCAGGTCGTTGCTAGGTAACCGATGTCAAGGCGGAACTTGAAG